TGAGGGCAGCAATGTCTACATTGCTTTATGTTAATGTTGTTGTTAATATTTATTTTTGTAACTTTATTCTGCATATATTTAAAAGTGTAATTTCATAAAGTAATTTAAGATGGTGTGTTTAGGGGCGGAGTTAAGAGGCAGGGGTTAGGTGGGGCAACTGGTGGCGAGTAACTATTAAGGCCTGACTAGTAGCTCAGGACTTAAAATGTTGAGCCCCGATATAGCTGTACCTTCAGGTGATTGGACACTGGTCAGAGAGAAAGTTTGTTAATCTTACCTTATGATGTCTCCTATCAAGTTCTGGGCTGCATGTGACCTGGTGGGTTAGATGTTGTCTTCCGGATTGGCATTCCATGGCCGTACCTGGGCCCTTCAAGGACAGCGTCAGAAGATGCAGAGTCGGCCTGCAATTTTGCTTTCAGCACTTAATCATGTGTTAGGCGCCCACATTGGCAGAAGTTGTGAGAATGTTGAGCTAGCTACAAGGTGCTCTGCGAGTCCAGGGCAGTGGTGTATCCGCACTCGTCTGAACCCATCCCTGAAGACCCCTTATAGGGTCTACTTGTCCAAAGTGAGTAACGCCAAGGAATATTTTCCTTGCGAGATGAGGAAAACACAGTAGGTGGTGACTCCTAGCCCTTGTTACCCTCTCTATTGGATGATCTGTTGTATTACACCTCTGTCTGTTCTCTGGTTGGCCTTCCATTCTTTTGCAACTGCAGAAGCAGCATGCTAGTGTGGGCCCTCTGTACCCCATGCTGCACCCCTCTGCTGACAGTTCTCCCCTCTTGTTTCTGTTGTCTACCCTCTCCCATCTACCAATGCCTCTGGAATTCTTCCTCTTCCCTCAAGAACCAAAAGGCCAAAAGAATGACAACACATCTAAGGACACCATTCACCTGCTGGCTGGAAAAGCAAGTATAACAGTACATGAAATGCAACTGCCCATCCAAAACATTCAACTATAGAAATGAGATCATGATATGGTAGTGCCTGTTCATAATGGGATTCATCATACAAGATATTATATGTAGATCCGTACAGAGAGCTTATTACATTGAACTGTAAAAACACTAATGGAGCCATCCAGCATCACGTGTAAAAGTGCGACGCAGAGATCAGTCTCCGGGCTCTTGGGAAAACAACGCTATCTCCAGGGGGGACAAATGAAATGTGTCAAATTCCTATATCACAATCATTTCATTCGTTGTTTTCCTTTAGAATATCTAGATGTAGCATATCATAATATCCATGGCACCTCACAAGACCCCACATGGATCCCGTTCCCTAGCATGGCATGTTTTCCAGTGTGTGGTATTGGGCACATAAGAGTGGATCCCGGAATGTCTGTGCATTCACCCCCCTAGGACCCGAGTAAAAAGCTGAAGCATGCTTGGAATATGAGGCATTATATCAAGCTGGTAATCCTCCTGTAGGCAGCAGTATAACCCAGTTGTCTCTACGTCCTGTGCCCTTTAATAAACAAGAAAGAAAAAGCTTTTTAGGATGTTTCTAGTCTTCGTATAAATAAAATCATCAAACTGTGGATGATGAGGAAACACTTACCGTATATACTCGAGTATAAGCCGAGTTTTTCAGCCCATTGTTTTTGCTGAAAAATGCCCCCCTCGGCTTATACTCGAGTATATACGGTAGGTGGTCTTGCCAAGCAATATTGCTTGGCAAGACCACCTACCGTATATACTCGAGTATAAGCCGTCCCGAATATAAGCCGAGGGTGGGAAATGAGGCAGCTACTGGTAGATAGATACCAATAAAATTACATGAATATTTATTTAAAAGAAAAACAATAACCTAGCTCTGTAAGTGGAAAAGGGGGTACAGGGCTACATACAGATCATTTAATACATTCATGTTAGTATAATTGTAAATGTATTGTCTGCACTGTATTAGCAGTATATACTCTATATGGAGTATATACTGCTAATACAGTGCAGACAATACATTTACAATGATCCTCTGCTAACATGAATGGGTTAAATGATCCGTAGTACATGATATGTAGCCCTGTACTATGGATCATTTAACCCATTCATGTTAGCAGAGGATCATTGTAAATGTATTGTCTGCACTGTATTAGCAGTATATACTCTATATGGAGTATATACTGCTAATACAGTGCAGACAATACATTTACAATGATCCTCTGCTAACATGAATGGGTTAAATGATCCGTAGTACATGATATGTAGCCCTGTACTATGGATCATTTAACCCATTCATGTTAGCAGAGGATCATTGTAAATGTATTGTCTGCACTGTATTAGCAGTATATACTCTATATGGAGTATATACTGCTAATACAGTGCAGACAATACATTTACAATGATCCTCTGCTAACATGAATGGGTTAAATGATCCGTAGTACATGATATGTAGCCCTGTACCCCCTTTTCCACTTACAGAGCTAGGTTATTGTTTTTCTTTTAAATAAATATTCATGTAATTTTATTGGTATCTATCTACCAGTAGCTGCCTCATTTCCCACCCTCGGCTTATATTCGGGACGGCTTATACTCGAGTATATACGGTAGGTGGTCTTGCCAAGCAATATTGCTTGCAATCAGTCAGCAGTTGAGTAAGCTGGGACATTAACCCTTCCTTGACTGTGGCAAAAACCTCTGCTGTAATAACTTAGGGAGTAGAGACCCCTGATGGGAGAAGGCAAGCCTCTGAAGAGGAGGCCAAGGCAAAGACCAAATGCATCTTAACCAGTTTGTTTACTGTCGAAGGTGAGAACAAGGGATGTCATGTACAATCTGTCCCACAGACTAATAAGATGGAGGGAACCAGGCCTGGCCTGGCCTGCACAGCCTACTTACATAGTAAAGAGAGTCTTAAGACTCTCAAAGGGTCAAGCAATGTATTGCCACAGCTTTGAACCCAGAAAACCTCCTGCAATGACAGACCAGCACTCTAACACAGGTCCCGGCACCTAGAGGGCACTTCCAGGCTTACCTTATGAACACTTGTTAAAAAACTAAAGCACGCTGGTCACAGGAGGGGGTTACACCCTAGAGCTGGTCTAAAATTTTTCTTGTTGGCCAGTGTCCAATCCTCCTGTGGGCAGCAGTATAGCCCACTTGTCCAAAGCTGGCCATACACGGATCAAATTATGGGTGTTTCCTGCTAAATGGGCCGACATTTGATCCATAGGTGGCCATGACTTAACAAAAGTTGATTTCTCAATTGACCTTTGTTGATGGGGAGGTGAATGCAGGTTGTCAGATGTGAAGGTGTATGTACAATACATATGCTATAAAATGCACACTATTATGGAAAGATCAGAATGTTGCTATGCACTGTGTTAAAACAAATAGTGTGGGACCTACTTTTTGTGCATTAGGGTTCACTGTGGACTAATTCAAAATGACCAAGCTCCCTAATGCAACAAACCTCCACATACGGAAATGCATGTTAACATTGCAGCACACACAGGTTGCCCCAGGAAGCCAGACCCTTAATAAATCAGTATGGTGATGTCTCAGGCAGCGGAAAGCATGTGATGTCTAAAACAAACACTAGAGGGGGCCCTTTACTCACACAAGAATCCATGTACAGAACATTTCTGCTTTTAACTTTTTGTATTAAGCAATTTCTATTAGATTATAAGTTCTAAATCTCCAGAATATGAGGTACTTCTATTCAGTCAGAGGTTCTCACAGTGCTCTTGTTTAACAGACAAAAACAGAATTCACCTAAAAAAAAGTACTTAGCAGTATTACAATAAACTGTAGAGTATGATTACCATGATAATTTAACTGCCGGTCCTTCTCATCACTTGGTTCTCCCAGCCTGCCAGTCCTTCTCATCACTTGGTTCTCCCAGCCTGCCAGTCCTTCTCCTCACTTGGCTCTCCCAGCCTGCCCGTTCTTCTTATCA